AAATAATATAAACAGAACAAACGTTCTTGTGTTGAACAACACACAACCAATTATCGATACCAGATGAAAGATTAAATCGATTCATTCTCAATTAACAAAAAAAAAGTCTTTAGTGTCTATGAGAATCTATTTTTCGTGCAAAGTACAGCGATTCATTTACTTATTCGGTTTTGAAAAGACTGCAACTCGATGTTGAGTGCAGCATTGTTACAACATAGAGGTTGAATCGAATAATACCTACTTCGAAAGTTAATTAAGGGTTTTTTTAGGTCATATCAGATCTCTGACTCACATATGTGTATTAGATTTCTGCTCATTAGTTCAACTGTCCAGGAGAAGTTTCACTGTGACAAATAAATGGATAAACATACATCTTAGTGATAATATTAAAAAAAAATTGCATTTTGAATTAACAAAATGCAATTTTTTCAATTTTGTATAAACAGACTGTAAACACAGCAGTATGCCAGGCTGCCACAACATGTCAAATTTCCACAGTTGATTTTAGTTCAATCCTAAATGCAATATGATTAAAAATCAAGTGGAGAAATTTGATAAATTTGTATAACCTGATATTTGTTCTGAGAACGAATCATACTAAACGTGAAATTCTGATCGGAATATTAAGAAATATTCCGATCAATTTCAAATGGAAAAGAAAATTAAAATTGTTTCCCGGTAACCTGAATCTTACCGGGAAACAATTTCAGGAGAATATTAATACTTTTCTTTTCCGAATTCATAGCATTACCACAGAAATAAATTTTCATTTCTGTGGGTACAATTATTCTGATTTAAGTCTTGCCTTTTTTTTGTGTCGTAGCGGGAATGCTTTATGCACTGTCCCTGCCGCTTGACAGGAGGCTCCCGCTCGTGCGTGGGATTCTATCGGTACGAACGCTCGAAGGCTGGTCAAAACGTTTATTCCCACTAAACTCCCTCTGATGCATCCTCACTTTTGGAGGAAGGGCTTGGGATCCAGCAGGGACTACTCCACCATAGCCATCATATTCAGTATCCACTGAAAGTACCATCAATGATTTTTCTATGGGATATTTGCTCTTTAAAATCATTCCTTTTAAATAAAAAAAATAGAAAAAGGTTTTCAATCCTACACAGAAATTTCTGAAAACATATGATTTCACAAACACAATTTAAAAAAAAATAAGTGTCTCTAATAAAGGAATCCAGTTATTTCAAATGTAATGTCAATATTGACAAAAGTTTTGACGTAGCTCATTTTCTATGAGACGCTTATTTATTTTATGATACAATGTTAAATAGAAACGAGGCTTATTTAGTAAACTGTTTTATAATGCCCTACTCTTCTCTTTTATCATTGTGTGCTATCGGATCAGTAAAATCTTTTTTTTTTCTTTAGTTTTAAAAATAAAGGTTTAGTCACACGTTGTCTATGCCACCCCTATAAGGTAACATGTATTACTACTTGATTTCTTTTAAGTACAGTTCTTGCCAAATCATAAAGCATTCTAGCTTCGTCCGATAAAAGTAAAGCGAGAATGCTGTTACACTTTCCAAAATTTAGATCACGAGGGTATTTGTATTCTTTGTGTCTCATATCTGACACACGCCATTCAATTATGTTGTCCTCTATTACATTGCATACAGAACACATGGGTGTGATAACATTACCCATATATGCAAATAAAGCCGTTATTTTTAGCTAATAATTGCGAAAAACTTCGTTAGCTTATAAAGCCTAGTCTAAACTATTTGAGTTTTATTTGTATAGCCTTTTTTTATTGTACAGAAATGAAGTTATACGAGGGTCAAACTGAAAGTTCTTAGAAAATCAAAAACTGATTACATTAGCCAGTTATTAGTTTTATTATATCTTTTCAAAATATTGTCCATTCACGTCAATACACCGCTGCATGCGATGGAACCACTGGGAAAAGCACTTTGCCCACTCGTCCTTAGGGGTCTCTTCAATGGCATCGCGATACGCAGCCACCGCTTCTTCAGCATTCATAAACCGCTTTCCTTTAAGTTTTTCTTTAATTTTTGGAAATAAATAAAAATCACAAGGCGCGAGGTCGGGGCTATACGGCGGGTGACCCAGTAATTCAACGTTTGATGTCGCCAAATAGTCGATCGTTCGCTTGGCGGTGTGCGACGAGGCGTTGTCGTGGTGAAGGAGGATCCTACTGCGAGGTCGTTTCTCTCGAACTTTTTCCAAGACAAGTGGCAAACAATTGGTAGTGTACCATTCTGCAGAAACTGTTTTTTGATCCTCTAACACAATTGTTGCAAAATGACCTATCCTTCCAAAGAACGAGGCCACCATTTTTTTTCCCGCACTTCGATCTCTCTTCACTTTAGTTGGCAACTCCTCGAAAGGAAACACCCACTGAGCAGATTGTCTTTTGGTTTTAGGATCATAACAGTAAATCCAGCTTTCGTCACCTGTTAGTATGTCGAACACAGCATTTGAGTCACCTCCGTTAAATCTTTCAATCATTTTACGACACCAATCCACACGATGGAGTTTTTGAGCCTCAGTCAAATTATGAGGTATCCACCGGGCGCAAAGCTTCCTGACCGCTAAATGTTCGTGGAGGATTTTGTGCACTTGACTCATACCGATGCCTAAGCTTGTCCGAATCTGTTGATAGGTCACTCTTTTGTCAGTCTCTATCATACGCCGCACAACACAGATGTTATCTTCAGTCGTCGCCGTAGAAGGCCGTCCCTCACGTAAATCATCAGTGAGATTAGTGCGACCACGTTTAAACTCATTAAACCAGTTGTAAACAGTCGCACGAGATGGGGCTTCATCGTGAAAGGCCAATCGTAGTCTATCATAACTTTCTTGTTGACTTAAATGACATCGAAAGTCATAAAAAATCATTGCACGAAAATTTTCTCGTGTTAAATTCATGATGACGTGACACAGACAATTTTCAATTTGCCGCCAAATCGTAAAACAAATGACAAATGAATGAAATATATACTCAGTAATATTGGCAAAGAGTTATATTTTCAAATTTTAGAATTATTTTTTTATTATATTGTTTATAAGTGGCCAGTTCTAAGAACTTTCAGTTTGACCCTCGTAATGAACCGAGCAACGATACAGATAATTGAGTTGAGTATATGATAAGCATTTTTTTTTACTATCACTATCTTGTTATCTACGAGGCACATTTTAAGGTAACGTAAAGGTGGGCAATGAAACAAAAAGATGACGACGATAAAGGAGTCTATTACAGCATCAACTATTTAATAAAAACTATTTCGATTATCGAAATCTCTTATCAAGTTCTGTTTACAAAGTAACCTCACAATTTATCCATTTTCACTTTAAAAAGTATAAATTCACTTTTAAGCTCAGTAAACAACCTAGTAAATAAAAAAAAAATCTTGTTATTGGTTTAAATCTACGCCGACTTGAAATTTTCCTCATATTAATATTAATGATGAATGATGATTTCGGTAGCCAGGGGTAAATAAATAAGTTAAATGAATTTTTCCATAAAACATACCATAAAATATAAAAAAGTTTTATAAATATATTCATCTCTAATAGTATTGTTTTGAAGGTTGCTATACTCTTAATTAAAAATACAATCAACACCTTAGTCTTATGTAAACACGGAACCTGTAAAGGGTCCGAAATAGAACTAAATACAAACGCGATGAAACCTTTTATAAGTTATTTCATTTATGATATTTATACGAAACGCCTTTTGTGAATTCTATGACATAATTTACATTTACATTATTATACAGGTTTGGTGCAAGTTAATAATGTCATTGGGGTTTTGTGTCTCTGGTATGTGACATTTAAGAGAAGCGTTGCGTTTTTATATAATTATCATGTATAGTCAACAGTACGTCAGGTTATACAAAGTTGTAAAATTTCTATAGGTACTTGATTTTAAACCATAATGGTATTGAAGTTTGAAGTTAAAAGTCAATTGCGAAAATTTTACATATTGCGGTAATCTGACTTACTGCTGTATGTACATATAGTTTGAAGGGGTTCAATTTAATTCAAAGTTTATTTTTATTATTTTAAAGCATACATTTTTTTATATTAATAAACATTTCTATTGTGTATAATAATACAATATGCTATATTAAAATCTGAATTTACATATCCTATATAATTTCTACATTAATTAAATATATGATTTAATTAATGAAGTTAAATCTTAATTAACAGATAGGATATGATAATTTTGACGGTTGGGTGTTTAATTATTAAATGTTTTAATTCGGGGAAATAACTTGGCTTTATATCCATAATCTACAGCAGATGTTACGCTTATCATGTTACATAATTATTACGGTGAATAGATAATTACATATTTAATATAATAATGTTATGATTTTTTAATGTCTTTTCGTTGTTATAGGTCGTTTCTCTAAATTAAGCCTTGAAATAATCATAATCAAAGTTAATTACAATCTCTTTAAAGGTATTCAGAAATTTCCAATCGAATATGTCCCCCGGAAATTCCAAAGACCAACATCATTCAAAAGGTGTCCATCTTACAATCTTGTTACAAAGCAATTTTCTTGTTTCCACAGGTAGCCGAAATACCGTCAGATTAGATTAGATAGCACGGTCGACGCCGGTGTGACAAGAAAAGTATATAATAAAAATGTCATCGGTGAAGAAAAACACGAATAAGACGAGATAGCAGCAGAAGTGACAGTGTTAAAAATCAAACGTGATAAGAATAAAGGAAGTGCTAAATAAAAAAATCGAAACATTAACAGTAAAGTAATATATGGTGATGAAAGTGATCAATCAGTCAACGATTAATGCGATAAGCAAATAGTAAATTAAAATAAAAACAAATGTGATGATAGCAGTCGAGAAAATCTAGTCTAGAGAAAAAAATGTGGTCTTAAACTAGTCAAATGTACCGAATGCAACCATGCTAATATCAATGGTAGCTTCATGGTGAAAAATATAAGTGTACAATTAGTTTTCGTGATACTAGATGAGGTTAGGACAGTGTTAGAAGATGGGTTGCAAGCTGGGCAAGATGGTGGCTTCTGAGAGGCAACGCGGGGGCAACACCAACCAGGACTTGGGTGGTGCCCCGCCACCAGCTACGGACCCACGGCTGCCGTTGACTGCGAAGCAGAAATATTCAATGCTCGCATCGTGGAAGGGGATCTCTAGAGCAATGGAGAAAACTGGCATCTGTATGTTTATAAAGTAAGTCTCATTATTGTTTACCATACTGTTGATAAGCCAGTATGTTTGTCCACATTTTATCTAAGAGTTTGGGCACAGATTTTTTTTAATTCAGTACAAATATAAATTGAGTAAACTTTTGCTTATACAATATATGTTTTTTCATGTTAGTTCGGCATCATCGTTTTCATCTTACTAGCAAATAACAACTCGCTAGAATAAATGAATAAATCATTATATACTTTGTTCATGAAAAAACATTTCCATTTCTTTATTTAAATAGTGACATGAAAATGTTAATATTATTATGGAGTAGGCGCTGTAATATATAAAGATTTAATGTTAACTTAATTTGAAATTATAACGCAATTACAACAATAATTAAAATTTGCATTTGTTTTAAAATCAAAAGATTTTCCAACTCTCTCTTCTCAAATAACAATAATATTAATATCTTTATTTTTGTCTTCAAAATGGTACATTGTGCAGATACCACCAGTATAGAATTTACCCACTACAATTTTCTCGAGACTGATGTCTGTAATAGGCTTTCATCTGTCTTACCCATTCCAAGGGTTCTTCTTTTATATTGTTATTACTACAATTGACTAACCGTTTAGAAATCCATTTGCTACTGTCAAGTATACAGATGCAACGCACTCCAATAGAATTCAATCCGATTCAATTCCAAGAGCACTTTCTCTTTGAGTCAAAGTTCAATCATCTTAACTGCGAAGTAGTTTCGTATCAATTCAATTGAACATATAAGTTATTTCAGTGTAACTTATGAACTAAAAGGAGGATTGAACGTCTGAATTGCACGCTAGCTACAAGCAAGAAGTTTTGTAGCACTTGTAATGGAATTGTTGCAAAGGTAGGGAATCTACATACCGACTCTAACTTCGGCATTCAGTTGGTACATAGTTCTTGCGACTGCAGTATCTGGAGTCTTTATAAATCTCATTGCACTCTCATTGTTAATATAGACAGCGACAGAAGTACTATTTTTAATGAATAACCTACAGCTCTCAAAACATTATGATGATTGAACATTATGAAAAAGTATAATTAAGAAAAGGAATCGAAATAAGTGATATTTTTTGAGGTATCTTTGTGAAATAATAAATAAAATATTATAATTTTCTCATTTTTAACTATACAAGATATTTATGTAAAATATTACCAGTTTTGCGCAGGACCTTAATTATACTGAATGTATACGTTATAGAATTTATAGATTTCATTAGGTATATTTAGTCTGTTTCTCTTTTGCGATATCAACATGGCAACAAATTGTTGATTTTGACCTTTATGCGCATTAAATTAGGGTTTATTATACCAACTGATACACTGTTGACAATACAAAGACATAACCTTCGAAAACATTTCCATTTTTATAGATGCAAATTTCATACGCTCCGTCATAACTCCACTCGTTAGAATTGCTAAAAGGACACGGTGAATCTAACCAATGATAATTTCGAACGACAAAAACTGTCGTTGTTTACTTACATATTCACGAAGCTGAGGCGTCACCACCATAGAGTCACCAAAATGTACTCGTACGTTTCATTTCCAATGTGCGCTCAACAAACAGCAGGTTAAACAAACCTATCCAATATTTTCCAATTAAATTTAAACCTTAAGTTGATATTATTATGTCGATTTTTGTGGCAAATTAATATATGCTCAGATAATATTATAGTGGCGGAATATTTGTAATTGGCAGACACTTACGTAAATATTGAAAGAAACTAACTATTTGATTTAATTGAAATATTTTAAAAATTACAAAAGTGTATAAAAATAACAAATAGAACAATTCGTAACCTTTTATACAATGACAAGCGTCGAATGAAACGAAACGAAAAGTTATTGCTAGCTGCTGAGCTATGTTATTCTGGAACCTACAGGTCGAAAATCAGGTAGTTAGAAAAGAAAATCACATTTTTTTGTATCTTTCTAATGGATAAAAGACTATTTGAACAATTTCGAAATTATTTTCAACAACATAAAGTTTTATTAGCAGCTAGTTTATCATTTGTAAGTTATATGATGGCAGTTGGTGTAGTATTTTAAAAATGCTCAACCCATTACTTTCCTACTTATAATTGATGTTATATAATTAATGGTTACGATGAAAGAGTTGATGATGTCACGACACAACATCTGCTTATTCTATGCATCAAACGAATCCTGCACATCACACAGCACAAGCAATTCAACTGGACTCGGTACAATAGTACAAACTCATGATAAACTTGACAGTTCCAAGATCCGTTTTGCACATGGATCGGCTATGAACTACTACCATTAAGGCCAAAATCAAAGTAGACTCATGTTGGTAAAGTATGCGCAATTGGTAAAAACGAGCATAGCATATGAGTAGATTTAATTAGTTTTTCTTAAAAACAATAGTGTCAACTTCTTAAGTCATTTAATTAAGTATTTTAGATGTAATGGAAAATGTTATACTAATGTATACAAACGCTGGTGAACCTAATGAAAAAATAAAAATTACACTTAACTACATATATCTTCGGACACCGGGCTCGATTTTAACCAATTTTTTATTTTTTTATGTAATTTTTTTCTGAGGTTTAAACATAAATTGCGCTCTCATGCGCCACATGACTCTAATGTAATAAAAGTCAGTCACATGCCTAGCTATGTGAAATTATATGTACAAATTCATAAATATATATAAATATAGTAGTATTTTATTATCTGTACCACTGCCAACGTACCTATTTACACATTCCATTATCATTTCGAGAATTGAAGAGCAAATCGCCCGTTGTAAGATAAATTGTGTAACTTAGCACTGACGATTTTTGTGTATTTAACCGTTCAAGGTTTGAATTTTCAGGCGTGCAACATTCTTTATTCTTGTCACGACACAAAACGAGTAAGTAAAAAGGTTCTTGGAGTTTCAACCTGTTTAAGATTTAACTCAGCCATTTTCAATTGGAATCTTTCTAATTTTATAACGTATTTACTTTAACTTTACGGAGTTACAATATTATACTTATTTCGTTAAATGGCAACTCGAATATTTTCGTCTTTACGCAAAGATAAATAATTCGGCATTCATTATTCAACCTCGACTAAAATTTACAGAAGTTTACGGTTGCTCGAGTATCATAAATCTTAATTCGGGAGACGAAGTACTAAATTATTAGGAAACAATAAAATGTTATAACAAAGACAACAAAGAGGTGGATTTTGAAAAGTAGTGCAGGTGTAAAAATTAACCGATGCATGCTCTGGGTTAATTCGGACTTATGGAATGATTACCGAATGAAAGACTAACAAATAAAACTTTTTATGGAAGTATATCTGAGTGTTATTTGAATTCAAAATCATTTATTTATTTAGTCAGTCTAGACCCTTGTAAGAGTAGAAAACTATGACATAAATCATAAATAAAGAGATACTGAGTTTCACTTTAAATTGTTTTAATTATTATGAGTCATCCATAGCATTTACAGGGAAGAACTTAACACGTTATATATTCGCAGTTGGCACTCTATTTTCTGGCTTCAGCAGTCTTCATTGTACTCCAGCCTGTTTACGCAAAACTTCAATTAACCTCCCTCATGAATTATTCCCATCCTTTGGTAAAAACCAAATGGAAATTTAGTTGGTAAGTTCGTCTCATTTAGTCAGACTCGTGTTCTAGTTACTATACATATTGTCCTCTCTGACAATAGCGCAAGATATTTGCGTGAAGATATCACTAATGTTTATAAAAATATTTGGTTTTTCATTTGTATTGGACAAACTAAAAAAATACTGGATTGTTTTTTAAGAATTCTCTCGGTAATATTATAAGCTTAATATGGCACCACTGCTAAAGCGTAGGTCTTCTTTATCGATGAAAACGAATCAAATGGGTAGAATGGGCAGATTGGTGGGTAACGTACTTTCTGAAACATAGTTAAGTTATACGAGTAGAAAGTTATTCCACCTATCCTATGACCTCAAAATTTTATAAAGGTTTTATTTTATTGAATCTTCCTGTGTTTAACCTCGATTTCATTACATAATATAAATGATGGGTAAATGGCGGGGCCCACCCTGAATTCGGGTGTAGTCTCAGTAAAAAAAAGTCTATATTCCTATCCAGTTTCCCAACTATTGTCACACAAAAGTCGCCATTCTTCATTGCAGCACAAATAAATAATTTTTTAAGAAAAGAAAGCGTAAGACAAATCAAATACTGACACCGTTTATAAAAATAAAAAGGGACTTAATAGAATATTTTACTTTCAAACTTGGAGGCGAGGATAATAAAAGGTTGGCAGGGTAAAAAACTAATCAAACCTATCTCGGAAGACAGTGAAACTTCCCTGCCGGCGTCTTTACGGGATTATTATTTATGGGGTTCCTTAGGGAAAGGGACAAATTGAATTGCATGAAATTTCCACTAATTACATCTTCACGAGGTAAGCTTAGCTTATACAAAATTCATGATTCGGTCGCCGTAATTACCGCGAAAACATGGTTTCCTCACGGAGCTGAGAAAAAAAAAATTCTACCCTGATATTGACAGTGCTGCCAATTTCCGAATAAAGCTCTAAAAGTGGCTAATCTGTTTTTGGTTTGGTTAGTGTTTTTATTGATTATAGCTATTTTCGTTTTTCATTTTCGTTTTGTTTTCTCAGTTTGACCTGTATGTATGTGTGTATGTATGTATGTTTGTGCGCGATTATCTCGTGTTTGGCTCAACCGATTTTAATATGGTTTTGAGAATAGTATTTGTTAGACTTAGGAGAAGTTTTGAGGTATATTTCCAACTTAAATTAGAGGTTCGCACTTTAATTATATAAAAAATATCAATATAAAATAACAAAAAGAATGAAATAAGAACATAAAAAATAGAACAGACTTCAGATTAAAAAAGTGAGAAATAATACTTATCTTCAAAGCGACTTATTGTAGACAATGCTGTTGAAGTTCGCTGCTTATCATTTAATTAATAGGTAACCTACAGAAAACTCCCGCCCGACTTTAATAGC